CCAGTTCTGTATGCACAAATAAATCTTTAAAAAAAAAATACTTAAAAAAATACAGTAATAAAACAAAGTAATCGGAAATGGCCAGTTTTAAATATTTGGTGCTTAAAAACAATTTGTTTTCAAGCGGAATATACATTTATTGTGTTTGCATGTCTGAAGTCAACTTCCTGACCTTTTCGCATTATTCTTAATCAGCTATGAAATTAGTGAGACAAGGACATAGTGTACCTTTTGTAAAGACTTTTATTTTAAAGATTTCTTTATGTATACAGTACTGGGGTACAGGCTAGAGGTGCAGGGGCAGTGAGAACATTCACCAGAGACAGAGTGGGGAGCAGAACAGGCAGATCCATGAAGTACACTGTTGAAGGGAGCAATGGGCGGGTCAGGAGAGGTCCGCCACACAATGAGGGTCACCTCCTGGGCAGGGATTAAACTCATGCTGAAGTGGCTTTAACTTCTTAGTGCTGTGCTTTAACCTGCTGCACCACCAGGGAGGGCCAAGACTTTTTTTTTTTAAGATTTTATTTATTTATGCCCACAGAACTGGAGTCTAGGCCAGAGGTACAGGGATGGTGAGAGGCTTCACCAGAGACAGAGTGGGGAGCAGAACAGGCAGACTGAGGAAGTACAATGCTGAGGGGAGCAGCGGGCGGGTCAGGAGGGGTCTGCCATGCCAGGGCTGGGATGGGACTCACACTGAAGCAGCTGCAGCTAGCTTGCAGTGCTGAGCTTCAGCCTGCTGCGCCACCATGGAGGCCCCTTTTGTAAATACTTTTAAAGGAAATCCATAAATGGAAGAGCCCATTACACACCCTGTGGCACGGTTCATGTGTCTACTCCTGCACAATAGTGGTACTTCACAATTCCAGTTCTAATATGTCCAAGTCCATTTCTAATATGTAAGGATTCTTCACACAGATAACACGAATAATCATTTCTGATTTGTGTTGTATTATTCTATATAATTGTAGAAATATGTTAGTGTTGAGCTTCATGAATTAGCCATTTAAGGTCGGTTGAGTGCAGTAAGGTACAAACTGAGTTTTATTCGGTGTTTAGCCATTTCTTTCTACAAGATCTGAGTGTCGACATTCAGTGGTTTATAGAATTGGTCGCGTGCGTTTTAAAAATCGGAGCTACCCCTGAGAAATCCTGAAATCTGCAGTGGAGACGCGTGTTCCCGCTTCGAAGTGGGCGGCCCAGGCGCCAGGGGATGCAGCGGGCGGGCCTGCTCGCTGCCGGGGGTCGTGTTTGGGTCCCTGGGGCTGGGCTCCCGTCCAGGGCTGTAGGGATCGCCCGACCAGCCGTCAGGGCAGGATGGCGCCAGGCAGGCGCTGCGCTCAGAACGGCGGACGGACGGACCGAGAAGACGGGGACGCGCCTCCCCGGCCTGGGCCAGGCTTAGGCGCACAGGGGCGGCCACCGGGGCGCCTCGGGGACGGGGCGCCCTGACCGTGCATGGAGAGGGCCGCGGCCCCAGCGGTCAGGCCGTGCGCCCGGAAATCCCTTCCTCATTAGTCGCGGCAAGTGGGGGCCCCTGGGTGGCGCTGTCGGGGCGGTGCCGCGGGTCGGAGCCCCAGGGTGGTCTCTCCCAGTGTAAGACTAGACCTGCAGGCAGAGCAAGAAGCGTCTGGCTCGTCCAGCGCGGGGTGGGAGCGCCGCGCACACGCAGAAGCCACCGGGAGAAACGGGCCGTTTAAAACCCGCGCGGCGCGGGCGGCAGGTTCAGCTGGCGGCGCCCAGACCGCGTCAGTGTCCGGCGCCTGCTGCACCACACGTGGCCACCTCCGACACGGGGACGCAGTGCGGCCCGGCACAGCGAACCCGAGCAGTGTCCACGGCAGACGCGGCGGTGTCGTGCCAGGGCGGGGCCGCCGTTGGGGGCGGAAGCGCCGGGGCCGGAGCCCACCCGGCCGGGGAGTGGCCCCGGCTCCGTGGACCCGCCTGTGCTGCTCCCCAAGCTCTGGGGAGCCCTCTACCCCCCAGCTCGGGTGCGCCCCGCGGCGGCGGCGCCGCGGGGGCCGGGCTCGCGTCCTGCGCAGGCGGAGGTGACTGAGCGCCCGGCTCCCCGGACTGGGACGAGCTACCATGGACAGCGACGCGCCTGACGGGAACGCGCCGGTGTCGGCGGCGTCTGGGGGCCCGGAACGGCGGGGCGTCGCCGTCGCCCCCCCTCCCCCCGCGGCTTCGGTTGTGGCGCGGCGTTCCCGAGCTCCGTACGGTGGCGGCCGCGGCAAAACGCGCTTGCGGCGGGGGCAGCGCGGGTCGGCGCTCCGAGATGCCCACTTCCGGGTCTGACGCCGGCCCAGGCAGCCCTGAGGACTACATCACCCAGAAGGCTCCGCGGCGAGCGTTGCCTCACTGTCCAATGAGCTCTTGGAACAAAAGCGGCTCTGGTGCCGCCCACGGTGCCGAGGCGGGACTTCCGGCTCCCCCGTGGCGGCCATACTTGCTGTCCTCGTTTTTGTTCGGCGGTTAAGAAGCCGCGGAGCGACGGTCGGCGCCCAGGAGCGCGGCTGAGCGGACCCGAGCGTGCGCGTCCCTGCCGCGAGGCGGTCGTGTGTCGCGACGCCGCCCGCGCCCCGCAGAGACCGATGGCAGCGGCCGCGCCGAGGGCCCCGACTGAGGTACAGTTCGGCGCCCCCGGCGCGTCCGGACGGTTGGAGCTGGGGGCCGCCGGGTGAAAGAGACCGAGGACCGCGGTGCGGAGGTGGAGCGGCCCTGGCGGTCCTCGTCTGCTGGGACGTAGGGGCCCGCGGTAGCCCCGGTCCCTCGCCGGCCCTGCGCCCGCGCGTTGGGGTTGTTGCGTCCTCCCCATTTGGGCCTGGAGCGATGTGCAGGGTCCTGCGTCCCACCGGGGCTCACAGGGCGGCGTTTCCGTGGTCAGCAGCCCTGGACAGTCCAGTCAGCTGCCTCCTGCAGGAAGTGGGCTGAACCGGGTCTTGACGGTCCAGGGCAGCCCTCCGTGGCCTGGGGTTCCAGTCTGGCCCTCACCCTGCGCTGAGTCACTGCCCTGCAGACACACAGAGGGTCAACAACGGGTTATTTACGAGGGAAGGAGAAAGGAACGACGCAAGGAAAGAGATACAGTTGAGCCCGTGCGTCCCACCGGCTCCGCTGGCCCGGAGCCCCAACAGCACCCCGAGAGCTCATGGGGAGCCAAGCGATCAGCCTCGGCATTGGGAGTTTCGGGGTCTGGAATGGGGGTCGAGTCCAGAAAACCTGTTATCAGTAGAGTTCCTTCAGGACATCCTTTCCCCCTAACGATGCTGCTGCTCTTTGGGGTGCAACGCCCCTGTGTCCCAGTGTGGGGGTGTTCAGGCGAGAATGTGTTTGATGCATAAACTGCTATCCGTCTCCTCTGTGCAGGGTCAGGTGGCCTGTTTGTCCAGCCCTATAACCTAAGATGAGAATCCTGTTCTCAACAGTGAGGTGAAGATGAGGTGATTAAAACACAAGTAATGGGGGATGGCCAGAGAGATGCCATGATGTGGGACAGTCAAGTCTAGTGTGATCCTAGGCCTGTAGCTCTGGGACCCGGCGCTGGGAGTGACACCCACGTGGTGAGGGAAGGTGTCTGGTGACCCCAGAGCGTGAGATTCTACCAGACCTTGGCCACAGCAACATGAGTCTGTCAGGTCCACACCTACAATGCCTGATGGCCCACCTGCCCCTTTCAGTGCTGGCCCCGGCCTGTGAAGCCTGAGCCTGTGAGGACACAGGTGTCCACGGCACCCATGACAGTAGAGCCTGGTTTCTCCTCGGAGTTGGGTGGAAGGGCACAGGGTAGATGTGTGGGGTACCTGGCAGATGGTTTTGGGTACTTGAGTGGGTTTTTTTGTGGCTCATGTCTTCCTATCGTGGCAGGGCAGGGTGACCTTGGAAGACGTGACTGTGCACTTCTCCTGGGAGGAGTGGGATCTTCTCGATGAGGTGCAGAGATGCCTGTACCACGATGTGATGCTGGAGAACTTGCAGCTTATAAACTCCTTGGGTAAGGTCCTCTTGCCCCTTCTGTGCCCACCGAGACCCTCGTTCAGAGTTCAGCTCTGTCTGCTTTGTGGCGGGGGGGATGGGGGGGGCGAGGAGGGGCGGCCCATGGTGTGCTCAGATCTCTTGGCTGGTGCAGCCACTTGTCTGTCCTGTCTTTTACTTAATACTCACGTCACTAGGGTGCAGTATCTCTCCCAGCTGAGGGTGAATATGCCTGAAGCCAGCCACAGTGAGACTGGCACCGTGGGAACCCAGCCTGGGGAGCATGATGCCAGAGCTCTGGTCTCATTATTCCGAGGCCTGTTCTGACTGACAAGTAGCGGATGTCAGTGCCAACGTTGCACCTCTGTCCTGTCTCTGCCTCCCCTTTCTTGAGCTTTCTGGTGTGTTTCTACTTGAAGAAACCTTTCTTACGTTCAGCCTGTGTCAAGACCCCCATCTCTGAATTCCACATTTGATGGGTTGTTCTCATCCGTCCACCTCTTGTGCTGTTCATGTTGGCCCCTACGTGTTGTGTCTTCGGGGAGCAGATATCCTGAAGTGGCCAGCTCCCCTGCTGCAGCAGCTAGTTTTGGGTACACACCTGTCTCTGCGGCATCGGTGTGTCACTAGCAGACAGGTTCCTTTGAAGACTGATTTCAGAGATGGGAGTGAAGACGTAGTCTCTCCTTGCTGTGCCCATGGTTGTGTCCTCACTGTATGCATACCTCTCTGCGCTCTCTATAGCTCAGCGTGTGCCACGCTGCCCGCGCGCAGCCTCAGGCTGACTGTCTGCCCTGTTAATGATCTCAGGGTCTCGTGCCTGGGGTGCCTTAGACACTCACTTGGGCAGCAGCCGGCTCACCCACAAGGTCAGCGCGTGCTTTACTAGCTCTTGCTTTCAGGTTGTTCCCGTGAAGCAGAGGACGTGCAGACCATTTCTGGGCCCCAGCTTTCATGGGTCAGGACCCCAAAGGCAAGTATATGTTCACAGAAGACTCACTCCTCTGAAACGCGTGGCCCAGAGCTGAAAGACATTTTGCAGTGGAGTGACTATAAGCGGACACATTGTGGGCAGAAACCATACAGGATCGGGGCGTGTGAGAAGCAGCTGGACTTCAGTGCAAAATGTCTCCCGAAGCAGCACGTTGGGAAGAGCGTGGACAGCACCCCATTCGTGGACAACTGCAAAGTCAGTGTGTCGGGGAAGCCCTTGTCCTGTGGGGAGCTGGTAAGGGATTTCCTGGCCAGCTCCGGGTTTCTTCAGCAACAGGTCCTGCACACCAGGGAGAAGTCGAACAGAACTCAGTGTGGAACAGCTATTTCTGCGGGGAAGTCTCAAGGCAATGCTGGAAAGTACTCGAAAGACTTCAGTTACAAGCACACACTTGTGCATCGGCAGGGTGCCCTCACTAAGGAAAAATGCTACGTGTGCAGTGAATGCGGGAAGTCCTTCAGCAAGAGCTACAGCCTCAATGACCACTGGAGAGTTCACACTGGAGAAAAGCCTTACGAGTGTGGGGAATGTGGGAAGTCCTTTAGGCAAAGCTCCAGCCTCATTCAACATCGGCGAGTCCATACTGGAGCCAGGCCTCACGGATGTGATCAGTGTGGAAAATTGTTTAGCAACAAGTCCAACCTCATTAAACATCGGAGAATTCACACTGGAGAACGACCGTATGAGTGTAGCGAGTGTGGGAAGTCCTTCAGCGAAAGCTCTGCCCTTCTTCAGCATCGGAGTGTGCACACTGGGGAAAGGCCCTATGAGTGCAGCGAGTGTGGGAAGTTCTTCACCTACCACTCCAGCCTCATAAAACACCAGAGGGTCCACTCCGGGTCCAGGCCCTACGAGTGCGGTGAGTGTGGGAAGGCCTTCACTCAGAACTCCAGCCTCATTGAGCACCGCAGAGTGCATAGTGGAGAGAGGCCTTACAAATGCAGCGAATGTGGAAAGTCTTTTAGCCAGAGCTCCGCGCTGCTTCAGCATCGGCGAGTGCACACTGGGGAACGGCCTTACGAGTGCAGTGAGTGTGGCAAGTTCTTCACTTACAGCTCCAGTCTCTTAAAACACCAGCGAGTCCACTCCGGGTCCAGGCCCTACGAGTGCGGAGACTGCGGGAAGGCCTTCACTCAGAACTCCAGCCTCATCAAGCACAGGAGGATTCACACTGGGGAGAGGCCATATGAGTGCAGCGAGTGCCGGAAATCTTTCAGCCACAGCTCTAGTCTCCTTAAGCACCGCAGAGTTCACACTGGATGAGAGTTTTAACGAGTACAGTGAGTTGAGGCAGTGTTCACCTGCAGTGCAGACTTCAGTAACCACGATAGCGTCTACACTGGAGAAGGACTGAGTATCTGAATGTGGGACATGATCTGTGTACACCTCCAGATTCCTAAAACATCATAATGTTCACATTGAGTCTGATGGCCTTACGCGTGCAAGAGATGTGGGAATTATGTAACCAAAGTCCAGCTTTGCTGTACTCCAGAGAATGCATGGACGGCGGCCTCGTAAGTTCGGCGACTGTGAGAAAGCCTTAGCCAAAGCACTGGCCTCGGGTACCACAGATGTCAGGTTGGAGAAACCTCTCAGGCAGGTAAATAGTTTTTCTTCGCTAATAGCACTGCAGCTCCCATACAGAGGTGCCGCTTGCTCGTGTTGACTCTCAGCCACCTGAACGTCTGTGTGAGCCCAGGCATGTGGGAGCTGCAGTGCACTTTTTACTCTACCCAGGACTGATGTCAGATTGCCATCGCCGACCATCGTGTGACAGGAGCCGTTTACCTCTGCAGCCTGGCAGTACCCTCGGCCCCTTCACCCCATTGTGTCCAGAGAAACGCACCAGTGCTGTCTGTTGTGGAATGACCCCTGAGGAGCCTGAGCACACATGTCTTTCCCCCATCTTTCCCCTTTCTGATGCGCTACCAGTATTGTCCCAGAGGAACCTGTTGGTCTCTTTTAAAAAAAAAAAAGACGTTCAAGTTTTCTGGGATATCATTGGTCTCACGAGATTGTAGTGATGGAAATTTCCAGCCACAAAGACACCTCCCCATAACAATCTGCCTCGTCACCTGTTTGTACAATAATAAATGTCTTATTTAAACCAGCATCCATCTTGGGGGTTCTGTCTAAATGGGGTAGTTTGAGATTAACTGAATTTGGTACGTGACAGGTATTAGCTTTGATTGGGAACCCCAGCTTTGTGCCCCGGAGGAGACAGTATGATCACAGAATATTCCTCCTTGGCTTTGGCCTGGTTGGCATTGTGGCTCAAGCGCCAAGGAAAAACTGCAGGACTCTGCGGGCCTGACTTAACCTGGGGGAATGCGTCGCTGTTGCACGTTTTCATGGTTCAGACTGAGGAGGGGGTGGTGGTGATAACCTTCAGTGCTTCTGCAAGAAACTTGAACCCATTCTCTTACGTAGGAGACACTAGCTCACACTTGGCGTTAGTGAGGGAAAGTCTGTTCCCAAGTCCTACAGGGGAGCCCTGGGCCTGTTGTCCTGAGCTCTGTAGCATCACCGGTTTTAGGTTGCTGGGTAGAAAGGAATCGTCGTTACAGGTTGACAGAGTGGAGGTGGTCGCCCAGTTTGTTTGGAAAGCGCCTCTGTACCAGCCTGCTGGGCTGGTGTGTACACACCGGGAGGGCCTCAGTGTTTCTGTACCTGTGAGTCCTTCACCGTGTCTCAGCGCCCAGCAGGCTGGTTGTGTACCTGAGGGTGATGTGAGAGAAAGTAAATGCTTTTGGAGTCGTCTGCGCCTTTGGGATGTTCACCTACAGCAGGAAAACAACAGAGGAAGCCCGCGTGCAGTGTTCCCTGTCGAGTGGGAACAGCCATTACTGCTCAGCCCCCGCGGCTGCCATGGAGGGGGTGTCCCGCCCCTCAAGATCAGATGGCAGAGTCAGTAACCACCGCCGGTTTGATATCCTAGAGCAGAAAACCCTGACTTTTAACATCAGTCACAAATGCACGCTCTTCATGCTTCAGTGTGCGACTTGACATTTGTTGACATTCATAAAAACCAGTAAGCCCACCACACTGTCACAGTAATAAACCTTTGTGTTATTCTTACACTTGCTGCATCCTTTAACAATTCCTGCTCCTTGGGCCCCTGAACAGCTTTGCCTCACAACTGGTTTGTGTTTCTGGAATGCTGATCGCAGCCTTAAAGTAGTCTCTCTTGGATGCCCTCAGGTGATGGGTGCCCTCAGGTGACGTATTCTGAAAGCCTCCTGCTTCCCTGAGTATCACACTCCCACTGAGCATGGTTAGGCCTCTCTGTTTTGACCTGTGCAGGGCTGTGGCCCACCCACAGAGTCCCACCCACCTCCCTGCTGTTTCAAGGTATAAGTGTGCAACAGCCCTGGGGAGGTGTGCGTGCCAAAGCGTATAAAGGATCAAAGCTCACACATTGAAGTCCTCCACAACGGTGATGATATCACCGTTTAGGTCCTTTTGGAGGTACCTAAATTAGGAGAGTGGAACCCCCCATAAATGAAACAGAAGAGGCCCCAAAACCCCTCGTGCCTATCTTGAGACATATTTGAAGTCAGCCCTCACCTGCCCCTGGGGAGCGCGCTGACGCCCATTCCCAGAAGCAGGTTTCTGCCTGGGAAACCTATCCGGGGCGTTGGCGAGAGCCCGAAAGGGCCGAGACTCATCCTGTTTCTTGTTAAGGCTGTTTTCAAAATTCACATACAAAAGGGTCAATGATCGTTGTCACACCTGAGCGCTTCCCTCCCCCCAGAATGCCTCTGGTATGTGGCTGTTCATTATTATTATTTTCTTGCCTGGTCCATTATACTCCTGCTATGAGCGAAACCATCCGGTATTTTTCTTTCTCTTTCTGGCTTATCTCACTAAGCATGATCTTTTCCAGCTCCAAGTTGCTGCAAAAGACATGCGTTTCTCTTTTTGGTTGCTGAGTAATATTCCATTGTGTATATGGACCACATCTTTTGAATCCAGTCATCCACTTTTGGGCATTTGGGCTGCTTCCATGTCTTTCCAATTGTAAATAAAGCAGCAATAAACATGGGCAACCCCGTTTTCTGAAGTCCGGGGGGTGGGGGGCGGTACACACAGCTGGCAGGCTCTCTGTCCTTCCTTCGGAGATGGTCGCCTGGCGATCCCGGCGCCTCAGAGGCGGCTCTGGCCAGGCCCCGCCCCAGTCAGGGACGGCGTTTCCCAGAGCGCCCCGCGCCTCGGCGGGCCACCGCGGACTACATTACCCAGCAGGCGTCGCGCCGGGCGGCAGCGGGGTCGTCCAACGAGCGCCGCAGAGGGCCCGTTGGGGCGGGACTGCCGTCTCCGCCGCGGCGCCCCCGCTGGCGCAGCCCTGGGG